TTGTCTGATGGCTGGTATTAAGATAACAAACATGACTTGACAATATGAAAAAGACCAAACACAATTAAGCAGGATCATTTTAATAAGTGTCTCAACATGCGGATGTAGTGGAAAGCCAAAAGGATCACGTTTTTTCTTTAGATTGATTATTTGAACCTGTGCGTAACAAAACAAAGAAAAAGTGGATTTTAGTTCTTTCTGTGCCCTGATATTTTGTATATTAATGAATTATCCAAGATTTGATGGGATTTGATGGTGTGTAGATAGTCAGCTCTCTAATGCTTCCATTGTACCCCTTCATGGGTGCAATACAGGAGCTTGTTTATATTTCATACTTTTTTATACTTTGAGGAAAAATATGAATAAAAGAAACTGTAATATTTGAGGAAAAAAAATTTACCAGTGACCAACTTGAAAGTAAATTTAAAAAAAAGAAAAAAAAGTCATGACTCATGCAACTAGCTCTTGCAAATCATGACCAGTCTAAATCCTGGGTTCCATACAATGCGAGTGCTTTTGGAACTAAGAAGCTACTATCTTGGATTAACCAATGCCTGCTAGTGCTTTCTGATTACTTGGTGCATTTTCATACTATCTCTTGCTTTAAAAAAAAAAAAAAAAAAGTAAAGACAAGACTGTTGGACCAGTATTGCAGTTCTGTAGTGTCATTTCTAATTAAACCAAATAATCAGGTTATCAAAATTTGGTGTATTTAAAGCCTAACACCATTCCAATAAAGGCACAAAATTTCTTTTTATGTTGGTGTCAGACTTGTTCATCTCATGACATGGGAAGTTCTGAGCATGGGTCCCTACATATCCGCTGTGGCTTTTGAGGAGTGAGGTTGGTCTGTGAGGTAGAGATGTAATGTGCTTTGTGTAACTCAAGTGTGAGCATTTTAGAACTGCAGTTTGTGTGTTCAGTTAGCTAGCACTTACCTAGAGAAGCCTGACAGCTCCTCCACTGTTGGCTTTGTTCATCTACTTTGTTCTGTAACTTTTTTCCCCCCACTTTCTTGCAGGTGGTGCTATTCAGGAGTCAGCACTGCGTTTTCAATCTCTGTGGTTTTTCTGCAAGAAAATACCATGTAGATAAAAATAAAGTGAAAACAATCTCTTTCTCATTCTTTCTAGGAAGAACACTTTCTGTAGTGGCTGCAATTGCTTACAATTTCTGTTGATATTTGATGAGAGAAAACTCAATTTTTAGGCACTTCTGGGCCACAGATGGAGTTGAGGCTGTTTGCATAGAAGTCCACAAGAGGGAGATAGCCCAAAGATGGCTCATGTTTTTATCAGAGAAGCTTATCAATTGCCAGAGCTTCATAACTTGGTGCTCCACGTGACTCCAAAACAAGGATGAATGTGGGAAAGTTGTTTTTACAGCAAACATTGTAAAAAATTTATATGCTGGAATCAAACAGAACATAATGCAAACAACACATTTTTGAACAATTTTATTACAAAACTATATTGGTAACATCTCTGTAACAGTGATAGTGTTTTAGTTCTTATAACTCACTTTTAAACTCAGTTTGAGTCATAACTGTAGGCTGATTCATTTTGTAAGGAAGACCAATTGGCAAATATATATAAAATAAAGTTAATTTGAGTTATGCTTTTCCAGCAATCCTGGTTCTGCCACTGTATCCTATCTAGTGACAGGATAGTTTGATAACTGCAGTGGTGTGAAGATAAAGCAAGGATCTTTTTCTTCTCTAGAAAACAAGAGTGTTAAGAATTCACTTGAAAAACCTGAAGTCCCGACACAGATAGATAACAGTGAGCAAGTGCAAAGAGAAGGAGTGAATTCCTCTTCCTGTCACACACCGCTGTAGAGAGATCTTGGGTGTTGCACAAGTTCTGTGTTCATCTTCCTGGGGCCCCAGGGGAGCTGCTTAAAGCTTCTGTTTGTCATTTGTGTAGAAGAGAAGGGGGAGAAACCATGCCCTTACACAAGCATTGATATTTTTTTTTAATATTTTTTTTTGTAGCTGTCATCTAAAATTACATTAATTTTCTCATGGAATGGAGTAAGTGGGAGTTTTTTGCAGTGTGTTTTTTGTTTTTTGTTTTTTTTTTTAAACTAGATGTACTTTTGGGGAAGTTACACAGCCACAGCTAATTTTGGGTGTGTTAAGAGAACTAAAAAAAAGTATGAGCAGCTCCTATTAATGACTTGGACTGCATGGAGAGTCGTCAATACTTAAACACACCATACATAGTAGTAAATTCAGTCTTGTACAGTGGGAATATCTGTCTGGAAAGGGCTCACAGTGTTCTGCACATCAGCTCTGCTGGTGAGTGGTGAAGGGGCTGAGCAGCCCCTGGGTAGGGCATCCCAGGGATTGTGTAAAGCACACACTGTACAGTGTTAAACACAGGCAGTTCCAGGAAAACCCTCTGCAATCTTGAAATGTGGATCTCACATTGTTCTGTGTGGTGGCCTTAAAGCATCCAAAAGGTTCATTACAAAGGCAAGTGCTTAAAAAAACCCCACAGAGCATGAAATGATATTTTTTTCTCCAAAGGCTCGTTACTGGAGAGGTTACATGGAGAAGGCAATTTTAAATCCATGTAGGAGGATTTAATGGGACTGAGGTCAGGGCATAGCTTTGTGTCCTGTGTGTGAGACTGGATGACAGAATCCCTGAGGAGACCATCCTGAAGGGAGGAGGAGTCCAGGAGGGCTGGGCCTTCAAGAAAGAAATCTCAAAGACACAGGAGCAGGCTCTCCCCACCTGCTGAAAGCTGAGGTGGTCATTCCCCACCTACTAATTTTATAATTCTATAAAGGAGACTTACACTTCTACTGTCCTGCTGCCTGCAGGATGAGCTGGAGCAGTGCTGACTGTGCACAGAAAATAGCAAAGAGAACTAAACAGCTGCAGTCTGGCCTGCCTGAACTTGGCTCACTTTACCCTCCTCTAGGAATTTGATTTTATTCCAGTAGATGAAGTAGGACTTCAGGTTTAATTGGCTTAAAAGCTGGTAGTTTCATGCAGCTGAACTTGGAATAAATCAAAGGTCACTGCCAAGTTCTTTTAGGCTCATCTCTTCATTTTGTGAAAATGTTTGTACCAAATGTTAGGTATTGTTGGGATGGATGAGTTATCACTTGAAAAGCTGCCTGGAGGCAACTGCTGGGCTGGCTGAGCTCCTGCTGCCAGCTGTGGGCTAGTGCTGTGCAGCCTCCCTGCCTGATAGCTGCTGTTCTCTGTGCAGGACTAGAACTCCTCTGACAGTAAAATTAAGATATATACATTGTTAGCATCACTTAATACTTGTTTTGGTTGATTTTTAAAAAAAAATTCCTCCACAGAAGCAAAATGCAGAAATAATCTGCTCTAAGTGCCAGTCCCCTGTTCCAGTACAAGCCTGTACTGTGAGTTTCCTGTTTTAAACAGGATCCCATGTGGATGCTGCAGATGTCTCTTTCCTCACAGCATTTTTATCAAAAACTGGGTTGCAGTGTTGGCAGCAGGTGTCTCTCACCTCCGTGGGAAGCAGTGCCCCCCTGTGTGTTTGGGCAGCAGCACACATAGTGGCTGTAGGGTTTTTCTCCCCAAAGTTGCACTGTAAATATATATATATATATATATATATATTAGTGTAAATGCATTTACTGCTGGAGGGAGGCCCAGGGAGCAATTAGTTTACAGGAGCTGAAGATGTAGTGCTTGATATGGAGCATGTAACACTGATATAGCTGAGAAAGGAGCTCGGGTTTTTTTTCTGCTTCTCATAAATTAAAAGGTCAGGAAAGCTGTTTTGTTTGAAAGACAAACCGGCACAGAAGAAGCCATTTCCACTTCATGAAAACCCAGAAGCTGACCTGCATGAGCACCCAGGACTAACCTCTTTTAGCATCTTGGAGTTGTTCCGATTTTTTTTAATAAAAGAACATTAAGTGGAGCAGGGGTTTAAATACATCTCTCCTTCCCACCTAAATGCCCTGGCTACTCAGCTGTATGGAAAATTTTCCCCTGGTCTTGTTTGAGTCTCCCCATCCCTGACCTGTTTCAGAGCCCAGGGCTGCCCACAGCATGGCAAGGGCTGTGTCAGCAGTGACTGCTCTGAGATGGAACCCCCAAAACCCATCGGCAAGGTGGTGTTTAGCTATGGGTTGGTTTCATTGTTTTCTCCAATTTCCAAACTCTGATTTAGTGGTGCAAATACTCTGCTAGTGGTGAAAAATACCCCAAGTTGTGCCCCAAACACAGTAATAAATAACAAATAGAAAGCAGCTGGTAAATCTCCCAAGGAACCCAGCAAATCAGGAGCATGCACGAATCTGTTGTGATGCAGAATTGCAGCTGAAGCACCGTGGGGAGGGGGGAATTGGCCTTTGTGCAGCACTTTATGAGCTGTGATTGTGCGAGGCTGCCTGGCAGGAGTGGGCAGGCTCGCTGCACTCAGGGCTTCACACTTGGCCACAGGATGGCACTTTCCTACAAGAAATCCGGCATGGCTGCAGCCTGGAAAACCCCTTGGCACAACCTGCATGGAGAAAAGCAGCTGACTGAAAGCGTGTGACCACAAACCCTCCTGGAAAGGCTGCTGCTTTTGTAGTCGCGTCAAGGTGAGGAAGATTAGAGCCTTGTCTTTGTACCTGGAGCCAAGGAATCCGGAGATGTCTCCCTGCAGATGCTCCAGCCAGAAGTGGTGTGAGCTCAGCTGTGGATGCTGAGCAGGACTGAGCCCCTCGGCACAGGGAATACCGAGGTGCACTGAGAGGGAATCCATGTCACATGCAGGATGTGACACCAAGAGATAACTGCCTGGATTTTGCAGTCTCATTGCGATTCAATTCTGAATTACCTCAACCTTTCCTTGCACCTGGTTGTAGGGAGTGCACAGAGATGGCATGAGCATGCACCCATCCCATAAGCAGAGATAAAGCCAGGGAGATCTCTGCTTATCGTGGTCCTGACAGAGATTGGAGGTGCCTTTAGTGTTTTGTGCTCGTCCCCTACAAAGTGCAGGCAATGATAATCTTACCCTGCTGTGGTGATACTGCACGGATGTCTCGGCACTGCTCTCAGTATGGCTCACCAGGCTTCTCTGAGCAAATTGTGCTGTTACCTGAGGGGTGATTTGGGGAAGAGGAAAGTTTTTACATTGTTTTGGGGAGCTGGGCCATACCAGGCTGTTCTGGTGTAATCACAGTGTTCAGCCTGAGCAGATACCCTGGAAATGGTCCTGGGCTGGATGGAGCTGGGCAGCAGCTGTGTGTGCCTCTTGTATTTTACAGAGCTATGAGGATTTATAGAAGAACTCCTCTAATTATTGCTAATGCACTTTGATTTCATGAAGTCATGACCTGGAAACCTTCTGCTCCTCTCTCACCTCCATTAACTCATCTGACCTACAAAATGTCTAATGTGGTTTATCTGCCAAATGTGCAAGCTGACAGCGAGCTCAGAAAGGGCAGATACACCTTTCCTCAGCTGTGAAACACCCTGGGGGAGGGGGATGACTTTGTTCTGTTTGAGCAGCCACCTCCAACTCATGGTCCTTTCACTCTCTTACCTCTGCATGCCCTGCAGCACCCTGGCAGCTGCTAAAGCCTGTCCAAGTCAGACAACACCGAGCTGTCTGCAAGACAGAGGTGAGACGGTGCCTGATGCAGCAGGGGCTGAGCCAGAGGGGCTGAGCACAGGTCATGGAGCAGGGGAATGGGAGGTGCATCCCACAGCACAGCCCGTGTGTTTTCCCAGGTGATCCTGGAGTTCCTGGGGTTGTTCTGCTAGTGGACTCGGTCACTTGATACTTCAGCTCCTCACTGCATGGATGTGGCAAAAGCCTCTGAGCCTCTGGGCTGGGAAACTGTGGTGATGGCAGCTCCTTGCTGGGACAAGTACTGCCCAATGAATATCTGTGGTCCCTTGCTCCTCCTGTACTCAGGGAAAGGGTTTCTCATTTATTGTCTATGCCCTACAGAGCTGAATAGATGAAAACTAATGACAAAGGGATGACAGGAGACAATGCTTTGTGACCTGTGGGGTTGATGTCACATTTTGTAGCACTCTGCAACTGCTGTCCTCTGTGGGGTTTTTTCCTTATTCCATTATGTCCATAATTCCCCTGATGAGTGGGATGTATTTGCTGTGGCAGTGGCAGAGGTGAGCAGTAGGCTGAGGAAGCAGAGATGGCACGGGGACAAGGGGATTCTGTGCCATTGGTGGTGACATCCAGACCGTGCTCATGGTTCAGGTGTGCTGCCTGAACACAGCCTTCCCCTTCATGCCTGCCCCCAGCTCCTCTCTCAGCTCCTCTCTCAGCTGAAGAAATTGGGTAGCAGTAGTTGGATGCTTTCTCCAGGTAATGGCTGTCAGGTGCTGTAACCCACTCCAACTCTGATGAGAATTGCAGCCTCCAAAATGAGAATTTTCCAGCCTCCAAAAGACAGGGAGACTAAATGGCACACTATTTTCCAATCCCCTAACAGTTTAACCATGTTATAAATGGGTGTGTTGGAGGGACAGATAAAATACACCTGGAGCTTGTGTAGAGAGAGAGGTTGGTGTGCAGGTGAGAATTGAACTGACAGACCTGCAGCTGGGGTCTCTGTGGTTTTCCTTTTTTCAGCACCTCTGTGCAGCCTGGAACCCTGACTTTCACTTGGAAGGTTAATTTTCCTTCAAATGAGAAATAGGTTTGGCTCCAGCAGTCAAAGCAAGGTTAAGAACCTGGAGAGAGGAATTGCACAGAGCTGAATCCTGCAGATCATTGCAGGTGAGCATCCAGAGCAGCTTTCTTTGCTTACTCCTTAGCCCTCCAAGAATCTTCCCTGACAGCTTTTGTCACCACACACGTGCCTTCTGCTGGGTACATGGGCTGTTGGTCCTTAGAATTTTTGTTAAATACATAGCAGTGTGGCAATTTATTAATTTTCAGAGTTCTTGCTCTTTAGAACCTCAAACAAGTCAGAGTAGTTTAAATAAAAAAATCTGAGGGGAAATTAACTGGCATTAAAAAAATTGCATTTAAAAGTTTCATTCAAAACACACTGGAAATGTGAAATTTTGTTGTCAGTAAACATTTGCACCTGTCTGATCCTATCTGCAGGTTTTTCCTCTCCTGGTGGGCAGTGCTGGCAGCTGCCTCAGCCCTGATCCTGGCAGAGGAGGTGCTGCTGCAGGACCACGGGATGTAGGGCTGCTGTGAATCCCCTGAGTCTCCTCAGATGTGTGACCCCTGCCACCTGCTGCTGCTGCAGCCAAAGCCAGAAAGTGATGAAAGTCCCTTTGCTGCTCTGTCTGCTATTTTTCCAAAAGGAAAAAATATTTTTCTCTTCATGAGTATTAATGACAATGCAGGATTTATATTCTCTTTCTGCCTTTAAGCCCTGATTCACATCAAATATCATTTGGGCTTTTTTCCATTGTTCAGCATAGGGATAACTTTGCATACTTCATTTCAGGTGTGTTTGAGAGCAGAGGAGAAGAGAGGGGGACTGGAAATTCCTAAGGCAGGACAAATGTCTAGACGTAAAGAGAAAGGTAACGATGGTACAGGGGCTTCTCTTGCTGTCTGGGTGGTAGATCAGGAAAGGCACTTTTCCAATATTTGATAAACAGTCAATACCTGCTGAAGAAGGAAGGAGCTGCAGGGCTGGGAGACTCCTTGCTTCAAACCACATGGCCAGAGCTTTCAGACAGCACTGTGGCACCACCAGCCCAGCCTGGTGACCTCCCTCACCTTCCACCCCTCAGCCAGGCTCTGGCAGCAGGATCCAGACTCCTCTTCCTGAGGCTTTTCTGCTGCAATGAAGTTATAACTGCAAGTGTCAGCATTTCAGCAGGGGATGGTGCTCAGTTTCACATGGGGACTAAAAAAAGAGCAGATGAATATAGAATAAGTGGCAACTGCAAAGATATAGAAAAATTTAATTCAGTTTTTATAGTATTTGTATTTGCCTTAAAAGCCTTGGCTTGCCACTGCCACAGTGCACTGCCCTAAGTGAGCACGTAAAATGTGCACGTTCACTTGGCAAACACAACTGACTTTTCAATATTATCTTTATATTGATGTGCACAGGCAATATTGAAAAGGCACTTTACTCATTCACACTGTGAAGATATCATGTTTAATAGACTTTAGATAGAAGTGGCTCAGAAAACTCCAGATCTGCCCTTTAAAATTATAAAATTAAGATGTGATGGGAACAACCATTTAACAGCCAGGTCTTTATGTAATGAGTGCAAGTCTTGAGTGACTTCCTGGATATTTTTATATGGTGTCCCTCTGCCATGATTCTTAGGTATTACATGGAAATAATGTGATAACTAAAACCTGGTGTGTTTTTTTGGGTTACAGGACAGAGGGATGGGTCATTTATGGAACTGAGGTGCCTGAGCTCTTTATACACAAATGGGGATGGTACCTCTGCAGTGTGGGGCCCTTTGCCCCAGGGGTGAAGTGTGGGACTGCCTGCTCCACGTGGAGTTTCAGATAAACAGCTCCACAGTAGAAGGGTGAAGGCAATCAGGAAAAAAGGAGGGAAAGGACTGAAAGGCTCTTGTTAGTGGCTGTAATGTAATAACAGTAAATAGAAATTTAAATTAGATTGCTCTCCAAGATTATTACCCAACAATTGGTCAAGGAGTCACATAACTAATCTAATTTTTACACTTTATGCCTGCAAAATATCTGTTGATGCATTTTCTCTCTCCTCTTTTCTTGCAGGAGCATTGATCATTTTATTGTTAAGTCTGATGCTGCTGCTGCTAGAGCTCTTGGTCTGTGTGAAGCTGTGTTTTGGGGAAGACCACAAAGCCTTCAGTGTATGATTTACTGGAGCAGAAAAACTTGCTCATCCCTTCCTTGGCTCACCTGAGTTGAAAATACAATCTCCTCTTAAAACAACCCTGCACACAGCTGGGTGTAATTCAGCCCACAGCTTCTGCTGCCTTAATTCACAAAGATCAATTTACAGAGGAAAGCCTCCAGCTAACTGATGCCAGGTGGTGGCTTTGGCTTCCTGAGGGGGTGGGTGACAAATACAAGTGGCCTGAAACAAATCAAGGGATAATGCTGTGCCACAGAACGGTGCTGGATGCCTTCTGTCTGCGGGTATCTAATACAGCTAATAAGCAGCTCACATTACTGCCTGATTTGGCAGGAATTATTACCTGCTGAATGGCTTAATAGATTTCCAGTCCCTCTGTGTGTAATTTTCACTCGTCCCCAAAGGAAAGCTATATAATGTTTGCCATAGTTGTTTGTAGAATTGGGATGCACCACAGGTGTCATAAACTGCTCTGTATTACATGCCATTTTACTTCTGGTGGGGCTGTAATTACTGGGAGCTCTTCTGGGCAGAGACTGCTACTTGGGATGTGATTGTCCAAAGCAGGACCTTACACTGCCTGGCCTCCCTTTGTCACTGCAGTGTTTGCCTTCATTATCTTCATTATTGGTAAATCTGCCCAAGTAACTCTTGGACATCTTAAAATATGTTTAAGTGGTTGGATTCAGAGGTGTTTTTTTATCAGGGCTGTGCCTTTAAATAAAGCAAGATCTTGAAAAATGATTTTGAGTAGTAGACCTTTTTCAATAGCTTTTAGAAATAGTGTATTTAAATTAGCAGTGTGGTCACAGGTTTAATCATTTGGGGGGGGCTACCTTATAGGAAACAAATTCACTATTTCAGATTCTAGTTCAAGAGGAAGAAATATATTCCAGAAATGCTTAGAAATAATAAATTAGATTCTGACAAGATGCCCTATATCCATATCCCTATATTAGGGGAGGAATGGTGTGATGAGGGTGTGAAATGAAGAGAAGGAGCCAGGCACTGGACACAGAGGGGTCCTGCTCACATTCATTAGCCAAGATGATTGCAGCAGCCAAATATTTGATTAAAGGATATATAAAAATACCCATTAAATAAAATAAGCCTGCATGGGTCTTTGGCTGGTGTGTCTGAAAATGCCATAACCCGGGAATTGCAGCCTGCAAAGCGAGGGAAGGCTCTCTGAAGTGCCCACCTAAGGGACCTGTGAAAATTAATGGCACAGCAGAAACACTCTGTAAAGGTCAGCCAGGATGGTGTGTGGAGCCTGGGAGCTCAAAGTCCTTGTTTAGCACAGGCCTGCCTGGTGCAATTCAGCAGAGAGGTTTTAATTACAGCAACACTTCGTGCACCCCATGGTTCTTCTGTGAGAGGAAGTGGGGGAACTTCCACGAAACCAAACCAAACCAAACCAAACCTGCTCCAGACTGGTGCATTGCCACCATTTAGCGAAGTGAATTTAAGGGAGGATGAAGGATTTGGTTCATGAGGCTGCAGCCCACTGAGGGCTGATAGTGGGACAAGAGTTTTGCACATCACATCCAAATGCTCTGACCAGGTGGCTGTCCCTGTGACCCCAGGCTGCTCCAGGGTACCACCAGGTACAGCCAAAAATACACCTGTAGAAAAGGGGTACTGCCTGTAATCTGGGGATGTTGCTTGTGAAATGCCTTCTTAAAAATATACCATATTATATCCTCAGTAATACTGCCTTGAACAAGCAAGCAAAAATTTTGATGCTCTCCAGGCAGAAGTGAGGAAAATCAGAGCTGTAAAGGGTCTTTGAAAGCTCCATTTTTGTTATGACTGCAAGTATCGTTGCTAGAGCTAGCTTAAAATAATGCCCATGTCCAAGGGTTTTTGTAAGCAGAAAATGTAACAAAAATCCAAACAGCCATTTAATGGTGAGAACAGTCACTATTTCATGTGAAGAAAACTGTGTTTTCTTGCTATGCACAAAAGCTAGAAATGCCTAGAAAGATGTCATTCCTGTAACAGTTTGTCATGCTGAAATTTCACCAAAACTGCAGAAAAGGGCAATCAAAAATGTTTCTGTTTTATCTTTAGGTAAGTGGAAACTGCTGGCACAGCATTGCCTTGATGGGGTGGGAGGTTTTCTCCGGGGCAGCCCAGAGGAGGTGGCTGTGGCTGGGGAAGTTGTCTGGTGCTGGTCCAGACTGGGTGAAGGACACTCCTGCCCTGCCTCTTGGAAGCTGTGTGACTTCACAGGCAGCTTGATCTGCCTGTCAGAGAGGGTTTTCTGCTCTTCCAGCAGGCTGATTTACATTCCCTCCACACACAGCTATATTGAAACCTGTTTGTGTTTCTTTGGATGTTGCCATTTTGCAAAATCCTCGAGTGTGTAGCTGTCATGTCTCCTTCTTCCTGATCTTCAGCAGTCCTTGCTGTCCTCCTCACCAATCCTGCCAGTGTACCCCATGCACTGCCTGTCTCTTTTCCCTGTGGAGCAGCAGAACCTGTGGCTATTCCAGGGAACAGCCCTGATCTGTGGTCATGTTTTGATGATATTTACCAGTTTCTGCTCACCTTACACTCACCTTAGTGTCTGTCCTCAGGCTACTTCTGTTTTGTTGCTTTCAAGGCTTCATTCTCTTTCTGAATAAAAATTCCACATTTTGGATTGTATTTCTTATGTATACAAAGTGGCCTTTTTCTTCTCTCATTTAGACAATACCTGTCTAAGTTCATTATCCTCTCTGGACTTCTCAGCCTCTGAATTAGTCTGTTGTACAAATGTCAGAGATCTGCCACTAACTCCCCATGACACACTGTGAGGGAAGTTATTAAAAAATGTTGGTTCTAAGTGGTCCCCTTGGTACCCCAGCACCACCTCAGCCATGGTGTGCACTGTGCTGCCTGGTGCTTTGTCCCCACAGCTGGCTGATGTTCCTGCTTTGAGTCACAAAGTGATGCCAGGCTTTCTTTGCATCTTGTTGTGGTTTAACCCCAGGTGACAATTCAACCCCACTCAGCCACTCACTCACTCCCACACGATGGGATGAGGGAGGGAATTGGAAGAGAGGAAGTGAGAAAAGTGGTGGGCTGAGATAAGGACAGCTCAATAGGTGAAACAAAAGCTGTTCTCTCAAGAAAATCAAACCAGGGAGTTCATTCCCCATTTCCTGTGGGCAGGAGGGTGTTCAGCCTTCTCCAGAAAAGCCAGGCTCTGTCACACAGAGGTGACTTGAGAAGGCAAACACCACTGCTTCAAACATCCTCCCCTTCCTCCTCCTTCCCCCAGCTGTGTGTGCTGAGCCTGTGGTCTGGGATATCCCTTGGGCTGGGCTCAGCTGTCCTGTCCCTCCCAACTCCCTGTGTACCCCCAGCCTCCTCACTGGTGGGGCAGGATGAGGAGCAGGAAAGGTCTTGGCCCTGTGCATGCACTGCCCAGGGATAAGGAAAGCATCCCTGAGTTACCAGCACTGGTTCCATAAAAAACACAAAACAAAACCTTCACTGTGAAAAAATATTGACTCTATCCCAGCCAAAACTGGGACACACCTGTAAGATCATTGCTTCCTGCTTTTATCTGACCCCTCCTAAAGATGCTTTTGCTTATCCCAGGTCAAAAAAAGAGGAAATCATGAAGCCTCATTGATTCCCTCAGAGGAAAATGCCAAATCTGTTCTGCCTGAGAGAAAGGATGTGGAGATGGTAGTGCTAGGACGAGTCTGAGAAATGGAATATCTGAGACTCATGGGGGATGGACTGCTCACCTCCCCACCTACTGATTGACTGCATTTCTTGTGCAGTTGAGCTAGAGGAAAAATCTTGAGTCCAAATAAAAATAATAAAAAATAATAATTCAACAAGGAATACAAATCATGTGAATGTGAGTAAAATGTAAAGCCTCTTTGCTAGATAGACTGCAGAGCCCCAGTATATCCTGGAGAATTTCATAAATCTAATGAAGCTTTCACACCTTTGGGGACAGGGCTTAAGCTCCTGGGCTTCCTATTCATCTTGGGATCAATAGTGCAGCTAAGTCAAAATCACCTGCAAATAAAGAACACAAGGTTGGGACTGCAGTTCATCTCTCACAGAGGAAGCAGAATAATAATAAAAAAGCCCAAGGCAGCGAATTTTAAACTTTCAGTGTCATCTGTGATGCTGCTTTTTTTGGGAGGACCCAACAGTAATTCAGGAAAATAATCATGGGGGGTAATTCAGGTAATTTCAGGTAATTTCACATGTGGTAGGATCCAGGCACCTTCACTTTGGGACCGTGGTTTTAAGGCCCTGGGTAAAGAGCAAGATCTCAACCAAGTCAACAAACCTGGCAGAGCTGTTGGGTGAAGTGAGAGACATCAGCTTGTGCTTGTTGTCACCTGTGTAGGTGCCAGGTGTGGCAATTAGTGGGGAAATATCTGCAGGCATGCACAAAACATCTGGGGCACAGAAACATTCAGCTCTCACTGAGCTGGAATTCATCCTTCCATTCCAGCCCAAATACAAAAATAATTCAGATTAATTACTGAATGGCTGAGGTACCTTGCAGCACAAATGATTTTATTCCCTGTGACTCTTCTTCTTGCACATCATGCAGTGTGTAAGGCCCTGGCAGAGGGTAAGTGCCAATATAATGGAGCAGGAAAAGTCTTTCTTGAAGAAAGCAAATTAAAATTTTGCTTTTGCCTTTGCAGGGGTGGAAGAGCTATAAATTTACTCATCTTTCAGAGGTAATTGAGTGGCAGTGTGTTGCCTTCTGCTGGAAAAAAAAAGAAGAAAAGGATTATGTTCTAGAGGGTGAAAATAAGGGAGCTGACTGCAAGCTGGAGAAGACAGCTTCAGGGGACAAGTGACCATGGGGTGGACATTGGTGAGGATACAGGGACCTCTCTCAGGACCACCTGAGTTTTTCTTCCAGGCTGGCAGCCTAGATGAAAGTTAAGCTTCAGCTTTGCTGGGGTCATGCAAGACCCAGCAAGAGATCTGTGAGATCTGGTGGTCTGTCCACTCACACAGGGTTTAGGGGAAGAAGGGATGTGCTGCAGAAATGACAGTCCTGTGTCTCCCTTGCTAGAGGTGTGAGTTAAGTGGGCTGGGGAGGGAACAGACAGCTTGAAAAGGGGGTGGAGGTGTGAAAGAGGGCCCTGCTCAGAGATCTCACAGGTCTCACTCTTCCCTCTGCATCCTTTGCACCTCAGAGGAAAAAAAAAATCTTCATACTTTCATTCCAAGTAATAGCATTGTCTTGCTTTAATCACCTCTCAGAACATGAATGTGAAGAAAAAGAGCGGATTGGCAAAAAATTGACCTTTGCATTAACACTGGCTTTGTTTCTGTTTGCTAACTGCAAAACCTGTCCTTCATGAATTATGTCTATCTGGAACTGGAGTGAAGGATGGGAAGTTAAATGTATCATTGATACAGATTCAAATTTCACAGCCCACCAGTGTCCCTTGGTGTGTAGGGCTGCATGGCTGAGGTTGCCAGTGAAGTGGTTACTCACAGGAAGAAATGGGGCTTATTCATCACTCCTTCTTCCAGGCTGGGGCTGTCTGCAGGCAGGATTTCATCTTAAGACACACAGATTAAAAGTTAACTTTTCCCCCATCCTTTTTTTTCCCCCTATGCTTTGGTTGTCAGGCTGGCAGAAAAGCTCAAACATCTCCAGCTCGTCACAACACAGAGGGAGAGCTTGTGGGAGAGTAATGACCAAAAAGCACAAGATCTGCTGGCAGCTGCTTAATAACAGAGTGTTTTAAAATGCATCTCTGACACTTCCATTTTTTATTTATTGAATGTGGAGTACATGCAAATAGAGTGTCTTTGGGATTGCATGCTGAGCCCTGGGACATTCACAGATCCCAGCTATAAATCTGGAATAAGGCAACACACCCCCACTGTGATATCATTACTGCTGTAATAAACATGAGATGTTTCCTCTTTTTGTTCTTTTCCTCATGTGAGATACTGCAGATTTCTACAGTCTGTTCAGTACAGCCATCCTTTGGAGACATCTGGACTCCCAAACTGGCAGGTCAGCCCTGAGCTCCTTGTGTCCCCTTAAAACTGCTGGAAATTAGGGCTCAAGTTCTCAAAAGTCCATAGTCATCTATTCCATATTAACAACATGTGGTGGTAGCAAGAATTAATTGGTGAATTGACATCAAAACCTTGCCAGCACAATAAATGAAAACCCATCAGAACTGGGGAAAGCAGAAGGTGAAATGTGATCATATGAAAAATAGGGTGATCATATTATCAGGTCAGGAGAATAATGTAAAACAACAGAACTAAGAGAAATAGCAACTGCCTGGAAATACAAAATAAGGGATGTGAAATAAAATTAGAGGATAGTATGAGAAGCATGTGTAGGAGGGTGTAAGCCACGATGAAGTCCTGCTTAGCAAAATTAAAGAGACAATAACATGTAGGTTGGTCTAGATGTGACAGACAAGACTGGTGGGGGAAGATTTGATGTGAGGACTTCTTGGGCTGCAGTAAGAATGGAGAGAGATGCTGCAGCTGATAGAATGAGATAGAAAAACTATGTTATGCAGAATTATCTGTGAAGCAGTATATTGTTATGGCCTATCCCAACAATGAAACAGATTTAAACTTCACAGTTGATCACCTCCAGAATTTGGAAATGTCTCTGAACTCCCTTCTCTACAGACACACAAAATACCATTCAGAAAATCCCAAGCAGTGACTGTAGTATTTGACTCCTGTGCCTGTGGTGTGGCCTGACCTAGCTTCAGGTACAAGCTGTGAGCAGGGTATGGCATTTTAATAATTCCTGCTCCAGAGCTTCCCTCCGAGCAGTTTAATTGGTCTTTCCCAATTATTTGTGAAGGTGATATGGAAAACTATGCATGAATCTTTGCTCAAGGAAGATCTGAACAGTGACCACAAGTCTTGGTTAATTCCCCTTCTTTTTATTATCTGCCTCCTTCCCAGCTCTGCACTGACTGAGCACAGTGCCAGTGATTTGGGACAGCTCCTGGAGGTTTCTGGCTTCCTGTCACTCAGACATATCCTCTTGTGGATATCTCCCACCCTCATAGGAGTGAGCTGGTGAGGAAGCTGCATGTATATTATTGCAGCAGGAAAATGCTGACAGGACATATGTTCCCCTTATTTGTACTGAGCAAATGGATATCTGAAAAATTAACAGTGAAATTCATTTGGAGTTTAATTAAGTAGGAAAACTCTGCAATTCAACAGGCAGATTCCCTTAAATAGGAAAATTATTCCAACTAATAAGAAACTTAAAGAGGTAGGATATGCTTAGAAATAACATATAAAAAATTAATAGCAATAAACTATATATCATGTTGTAGCACTTGCTGTTTTCTTTCAGAAAGGAACAAACTGCCAAAGGCATTTCAGAGGAAAAGGAGGGTTGTGTCTTTGAAGGGATTACTGCTCATATCTTCACAGGGTGGCTTGGATCATCAGAGACTGCCTCAGCTTAGAACAAAGTGCTCAGAAATGTCACTTGGCAGCCAGGCCCATTGCTGAAATGCTAAAAGAAATAACTTACAGAAAGTTACCATACTGAGTCTTAATTGGCCCAGCTGAAATGTCTTGCTGGGAATTGTGACAGGCAAAGTTGGCACTTGGATCTATAATTTGTAACCCAACATGACTTTGGAATGATGTGAAGGTACAAAATGTGCATTTTTGGCAGCTGTTCTCCCATGTGGCAGTCCAGAGGGGCAGCTGCTTAAACACAGATCTGGTGCCATTTGACATCCTCATGGAGCACCTTGCTTCACATCTGCCTCAAGGAGGTCTCAGATGTCCTCAAGTCACCCCTCAGGTGGCACTTCAGGCAACTGGAGGGAGGAGCCCTTGGCATCCTTGCTGGGCAGAGCAGCCTCCTGAGATGACAACTTGCATGTGCATCATACAGTGAATGTGTTTGCACTGAAACAGGAGTGGTGAATTACTGACACAACAGAAGGGGGCAGGTTTCAAGTGCCTCTGTGCTGTCTCCTCTCCCTGTCTGACATCCCTCTGGCTGTCCCCAGAACCTCTGTGCTCCCCTCTCCATCACCAAGCTCTCCTGCTATCAGCCAGGGAAGTGTTAAACCTGCCTCTGGCCCTCACCTTGATGGAGGAAACAGAAGAGAGGCACCCTTTGAAAAGGAGTAGACACACAAGGTTGCTGTCTTGTTCACTGTAAGCTGTACATTATTAAAGGCCCAAGTTGTGTTTATCCTGAGCTCTTTGCTGGAGCTGCAAGATGGATAGAAATGGGAACAAGGGCACAAGAAACCCTTCCCTGAGGCAGCCCTGGGGCTGTGCATCATCTCCTCAGTCAGCCTGTGCCCCAGCTCTGACAGGATGTTGAATTTCTCTAGTGCTTTCCATTAAAGTCTTGCAAAACCTTTATTTGGGGGTAAAAACCAGGCCTACAGGGATAAGAAAACCCTCTTCAATATCCAACATTGTGTGACAGATGTGTCCAAGGAGCAGGGAAGGCAGCAGGGGGAAACAGAGGCAAAGCATCATTGTTGCTGCCTGATCACTGGACGACCTTCAGCAGTTTTCAGTGGCCAAGAGCACTTCGTATGATTTCTGAATATTTAAAGAACAAGCTGATGTCTTTGTAGCTGCTACCCTGGGGACTCTCCTTTGCTGTCCTCTGGCTCACCCCAGAATGGGTCTGGGAAGGACAACTGAGGAATGAAGGGGAAGATGTTTTCCCTTTTCAAAATCAGGTACCTGTCCATCGGTCTAAGTTAGGGAAAGTGCCCTGGAGCATTGGAGTTTGTGGCTGGAGGCATGTTTTGGAGCCAGGATCCTCCAAGTGATCACTCAGAGTGCCTCATTTAGTTTCAGCTTGGAAGTGCCCACCTGCCTAGAAACCTACAGGAAGCTCAAGCATGAATGTGTGGTTAATGATGAAACACAACTCAGACAATATGCCCGACAGCCCATCCAAAATATTCCAAGTCAATGACAATGTGGAGCTCAAGGGAGCAAAATGTGACCAAAAATGAAGAAATTTGCCATGGCCAAGCTGAGCTGTGCATCTTTGTGTGCATGGTTTAAACCACTGAAAATACCAGATAGGTGGACTTCGCCCATCCTTCTGTGTTCCAGACAAAACTAAATCAATATCCTCCTTTCTGAGTCATGCTAAAAGCATGGATATAGCCAGTTCCTGAAGCCCAGCTGCTCCTTTAAAACTTCCCAAGCCAGGTAACTTGTTTTTGTGTCTGAGCCCCTTTTTAAAGTCCAGTGTTTTCTGCTTACTTCTATTTCTCTAAATCCCATATTCTTTAATCCCATATTATTTAGAGAAATAAATATTTCTCTAAATTCTGCTGTGTGAAGGGAATGAGTCTACTAATCTGTAACTGAGGTCTACAGAGTGAATTAAATGTGCTGAGTGCTGCTTGGTGATCTTGCAGGAAAAAAAAAAAGCTGAAAAACACAGAGAGGATAAAGAATGATCAGACTTGGTACTTTAAACAATTGACATTTTCAAGCCCTTTAAAATGGAAGAGAACATCTGTTAATAAAAGAAGAAAATGAGAAAACCAAAATCCCAAAAACCAATTATGTGAATCAGCAGCAAAGACTCAGATCTGACTTATGTTACTTTGAATTTTCTAGTAACTTTTAAAATCCTGAGTGTGGAGTCACAAATGGATGTATCTACATTTAAAGCAATTTTCAGAATGTGAAAGGTGAACAGCATGCACAAAAGCAGAAAAATAAATGGAAGCTAGACAGGACAAAGCACACAGTATTTGGAGAGGCAGAGCTCTGGCCACACTGAAAAATAAAGGAGTAACTCTAAGTTCATCAGTTCAGTGGAACTGATAGGAAATATAAATTTTCATCATTTTCAGATTTTCATGAAAACTGAACAGAACTGTATAAAAAAAAAACAAACCAAAAAAACCCAAAAAACCCCTAAAAAACCTGAAGTGGAACTATCTGCCCAAACACGTTGAAGTATGGATCTGATCGTTGCATCCAAAGGGAAATCACAGCAAATTGGTGCCTCTGCCATGTGGCTGCACCTTCACAGACCATTTCCCCCTCAGTTCAGACATCTTCCCCAGTCCCCAGGGAGCTCCCTGAGTTTTGGCCCAGTTAGCTATGTACAAAAAAGCTGCCCCAAAACATAGCAGTGGGGCACCAGTGCACTCCCCAGGCTTTCTGCCAGGGCTTTGCTTATTGCTACCTTTTGGTTTTTGGCTGCTCAGGCTGCTTGTTTCTTGTAACTGCTGCTCTTTTGGAAGCAAAGAGAGCTAATTTCTATAGCTGCAAAATGAAAAATATGTTCCAAACTTGAGAAGACAGAAATGTAATGGTTGCACCTTTCAGGCTGACCTAGAGGTGGAGCGATTTCAATTAAAAATCGATTCCAGTGAGTACCAGACAGAGGAGAAAAGGAATAAAATCAGAAAGAAGTTTGCAAACTGTTAAAAAAAAATTGTTTCATTCGTATTTGAAAGACTAAGAATGTTCAGACTTACACTGCAAAGTGATAGGGAAAAGGAAATAAGTTATCTGTCTAGACAGGGATGTCAAGTTCACTGCACAGGTACCTCACAGAAAGACCAACCCGACATCCAGCGCTCCCCCCGCTGTGTCACACACACAGCACTCCAGGGAGCAGCGTTTCATCCAGCATTAAGGCTGCTGCTCCCGGTTGCTTCGACTTCATTAGCAAATAGAAAGGCAAAATCATTACAGATGGGTGGTTGGAGGGGGAGGGAAGG